TTTGTGCTCATGTCTTATCTGATTTCTGGACAAATTCTAAGAACATAACCGTAATGCTTTGTTCAATTTCAGCTAGCTCCTAATCGTAACAATCCCTCGGTAATTACTGGATTCCCAGATATTCGCTGGCACCAAACCGCAGACTATGGATACGTACCTAACTACAGAATGCAGAATGTGTTCATGTCTGTAACTATGGATTAACCGGACTACAAGTCCCCATACGGAAGGTACTGAGTTATTATCGTTTCTATACTGCAAGGTTTTAAAGCAGGGAGTGATATAGCCTACCTGTCTATACAGTGTATAGAGAAAACTAAAGACAACGATATGTATTTAGATTAATAAAATGAAATATGTGGAAAATGATGATGATATAAATTATACTAAACAATAGGCCCATGGGCCACATCGCTCACCTGAGAAGATTTGACCATGCCATTCTTAACCAGATATTCCCTTGTGACCTATTGTGACCCCATCGTCCACCACGGGGGTCATAATTAGTATAATTTAAAATCGACACTACCCCAGGGTGCTTCCACATAAATTTCAGCTATTCTAGATCTGGCCCAGTAGTTCTTGAGAAAAAGATTTTAAAATTTTTTTCACATATATTTCTATGTAAAATTTTGATTCCCTATTGTGGTCCCACCCAACCCTCGGGGGTCATAATTTGTATAATTTAGAATCTACACTATCCCAGGATGCTTCCACATAAGTTTCAGCTTTTCTGGCCCAATGGGTCTTGAGAAGAAGATTTTTAAAGATTGATTCCCTATTGTGGCCCCACCCAATCCCCAGGGGTCATGATTTGAACAATTAACACTTCCACAGGAAACTTCCACATAAGTTTAAGATTTTCTGACCCAGGGATTCTTGAGAGCTTCAAGATTTTTAAAGATTTTTTCTATATATTTCTTTGTAAAATTTGATTCCCTATTGTAGCCCCACCCAACCCCTGGGGGCCATGATTTGAACAATTTACAATTTACATTCTCCCAGGATGCTACCACATAAGCTTCAGCTTTTCTGGCCCAGTGGTTCTTGAAAAGAAGATTTTAATGACCCCACCCTATTTTTGTCTTTTCTTGATTAGCTCCCCTTGTGAGAGGACCTGGCCCTTAATATTAACAACTTAAATTCCCCTTTACCTAAGGATACTTTGTGTCAAGTTTGGTTAAAATTGGCCCAGTGGTTCTTGAGAAGAAGTCGAAAATGTGAAAAGTTTACAGATGGAGAGACAGATAGACAGCTGGACAGACGGACGGACAAAATGATCAGAAAAGTTCACTTGAGCCTTCGGCTTAGATGAGGTAAAAAGTTTGTCTAACTTGCTCAAAGGAGCCTCTCAAAGAAAACTTGGTTCAAAAGTGCAAATGTGAATTTCATTCTAAGGTAAAAAACGTATCATTAAATCTTAGAATACATGTAAAGCGAAAAGGGGAACATTGTTTCTTACAATATAATATAAAGATGAAAAGTAACCAAGATAGGACCATCAAAATTTTACAAATTGAGAGCAGAGCAACCATGAACCCCTTAAAACATCGATATCAGAGGCTGAAACAGGTTGGAAAAGTTGGCATCTTCTGTCGAGCGGTGACATCCATTTTCTTGTCATGATTAGGCAAACAGAAAAACCAGTTGATTTTCATAATATTTAAGTCTAACAATTGGTATGAAAACACCAGTCAGCATTCGACGTAATTATTTATTGTATTTGCTTTTTTCGTGTTTACTTTGCTCCTATTTTGTTTTGTATTATGGACTTTTGGGCGTGACTACTGTTCGTTATCTCCATATGTTTCGCTGACAAAGTCATTTTATCCACCAAAGAACTAAGAAATGATGACGTCAAACAATGCTATAAATAAAGATGGAACAAAATTTATCTTGCTCTTAATTTGGTCAAATTACTTTTCAAACAAAAGTTGTTGCTATTTTGCGAAACATTTGTTTGTCTTTGACAATTTTGATTGATTTCGTTGTATCTTTTTGTTAATTCTTTTAGTTTAGTGTTCATCCGCGAGACAAAGAGACATCGCCTTGCCTTGGCAGGTCTGTCTGTTGCTTATAACATGCAAGTAGGTCCATTCCAGGGACCTAACATCACAGCCTTTTACGCAGATATTGGATTTTTTCACTGTCGGGTTCGAGTTTGATAATGCAGTGGAAATAGAAGTCAGGTCAAAGGCTGGATTTGAGGTAGGTTTAAAAATGGAAAAAGTTCTTTTACAAAGGTTGCTGTAGAGTATTTTCTTTTTTCATCGGTGCAAGATATCTTTCGATAATTTAAATTTTTCTGACATATTTGTTATTTACTTAATATCTTAATGAGACAATATTCTTGTTACAAAATAATCAGGCTTTCAAGAAATATATTTAATAAAAGTAAAACGAGAGTTTACTTTAAATTTGCATTATATTTCTGATAGAAAAGGTTCAAAGCAATGGCCGGTAAATTTTTATCTAAGCTTTGTTTCGCAAGGTACAAAATTTACCATCTTTTTTTAGCTTTGTTGCTCTACCAATAACCAGTTAAAATGTGACGGAACAGATTCAGTGTGGATGGAAACCCCCATCATTAAGGAGGAGCCTCACAAAATAACTGTCTCCTATAAAGGCACATGCTCCAACAAATACATCATGGGATACCGTTACGCTTGGCGGGAATCACCCTGCCCTTTTAAAATGTGTGCTTTGTATGTAAAGGGCACTGATATCCCTTTTGCTCCGATGTTCGGCAAGGGATTAATTAACTCTAAGCATATGAAATTTTATCGGAACAAAATTCCAATTTTTGTGAAATAAAACAACTAAATAATGCTTATTCTGGACACTCTACGCTTATTACTAGATTCAGTTATCAGTATTTTACGATTTTTTAACACTACCAGGAGGTGCTCATAAATTGATAATGTACTTCGTAATAAAGTTGCTGTAATAAAATTATTTTGCTTTTGATAAAATAATTTAATTATTACATGTATGTATTATTTACATGAGCACATCTATATACATAAAGGACAATGATACTGTAGTTCTGTTTGACATGTAACCAGAAGAGCTTATGTCATCCACTATATCGAAATACGCCATGAATAAGTGTTGTATCTCAAAGCGATTTCGCAGTCCCAATTTCTTATTCTTTAAGTATTTTACCCTCGATATTTCAAATACATGCATCAAGCAACAATTGCGGTTGTCTTGATTTGGTTCGAATAATGAGTGCCAGTTAGTTAAATATTAATACTTGTAAACAACACGCTTTTTAACCCGTGGACGTCCAGCAGGCAAATAGTAGGGTGATATTGAGCAGCTAGTTCTTTTTCAACTTCCATGCCCCTGGATTTGGGTCATTTGGTCATGATATGATGACCATATATGAAGAACAATTTAAAAAATCTTTAAAATCCTCTTACATAAGCATCTAGATGACAAGCATTATCGAATGTGATAATGGATAAAGAGTTCGGGTTTTGGAGAGATGCAAATAAAGGCCTCCACTCGTCTCTTACGGCCGAAAAGTAAGAATGTTTTCGCATGCAAGCACACGCCACACGAAACCTCGGTTTATACGGTCTTTTCTGAAGGACCAGTGTCCATGACTTGCGGTAGAATTCGAATCCACGGCGTAAGGATGATCCTGCATGCGGACCATGTACACTTGGCTACCAAATGTATCCGTCACTGACGTCAGAAAAACACATATCGCCGTAAAAGGATCAATATCAAGAGCACTGCCCTTTTTGCAATAAAAAGGGAAAAAAGCAGAGAAATTACGTACCAGGTATATGCTACTGGAAAGAAGCAAAGAAAACTACATAACGGAATAAACTATACAGGAAAGAAGCAAGGAAAAATATAATACACGGTATTAGCTACAGGAAAGAAATGGGGAAACTAAATACGCAGTATCAACTACAGGAAAGAAGCTGGAAAACTACATACACCGTATTAACAACAGGAAAGAAGCAGGGAAAACTACATACACGGTATTAACTGCAGGAAAAAAGCAGGAAAACTACATACTCTGTATTAACAGCAGGAAAGAAGCATGGAAACTAAATACGAGGTATACAGCAAGAAGCAGAGAAACTACATGAAGAATACGGAGATAAGGAACAGTATTCAATATCAAAGTCCATAAAACAATACAAAATAGGAGCAGAGCAAACACGGACCTCCGAATCATCAGAGGTGGGATCAGGTGCCATGGAGGAGTGAGCATCCCCTGCTGACCGGTCACATGCGCCGTGCGCTCCTTGTCATGATCAGGAAATAACGGAAAAATCAATCGTCAATTCGGTGTATAAATAATGGACTAACGATAAGTATGAAACACGTCAGTCAGCATTTGACTCAATGATAAATTGTATTTGCTGACAAGATCATTGTATCGACCATAGAACTTACGAAATTACTTTAAACGAGGCTGTTGATATTCTTGTTTCATCAACTTGCTTGTCAATAATTTACCTCGTTTTAGAAATTGTTCATACTTAGAGCATGCTCTTGTGTATCGAATCAACTGAGATATATATACTCCGTATGCAGGTGATGAAGGTACATTGCTGCATAAGTAAGGGAAGCTGACGATAGAAAATTTAAAGTCATAACGTTTATCATAGAGCTTGGTTTTTAGATTACCATCAACGTCTTTTTCAAGTAAAATATCCAAGTATGAAACAGATGTGTCAGACTCTGTGGTACATGGTTTTAACTACAGAAAAGAAGCAAAGAACTAAATGACAGAGAAACAACATACTAGTACTACTGTAGGTTTAAACTTCAGGGGGAAACTACATAACGGAATATACAGTACAGGAAAGAAGCAGGGGCACCTTATACCCAGTATAAACTACTATCAGCTTATTTCAAACGTTTTCTCTTTTTGTTTTGTTTGGCGTTTGGCATATATATTAGAGATAAACAAGACAGAAAATGAGATTAAAGTGACTTTAAAGACAAAAATAAAGTAAATATTCATTTTATGTTTAAAATAGTTTCCAGCCGGCAAAAGACGTTCTTCCGTAAGAGTTGCTCTGGATGTAGTCCGAAGTACCTAAGGTTAGCGTAGCATGTGTTCTCACGTAAACGTCGTCTCCAGCGTTAACTTGGGCAACAACGATACCTGTCTCCTGTGCTTCTAGACCATTAACTGACTGAAGATACAAAGAACCGAATACGTCTTTGTTTATCAGTAGCTGAATTGAATGGTCATGGGCTGCACCAGTTCGAAACATCCATGTAAAGACGTACACGCCTGATTCAGGAACTATAAAAAGCCCAGTTGATGGATGATAAGCGTTTCCAATATTAGTTTTGACATCATCAAAGACCAGCACCTGGTGTTGATTTGGTGACGGTATCCAGGCAGACATGTATGCATAAAATGCAATAGAACCATGAGAAGTTGTTGGAAGGGTGAGAAGTCTTTCTGTAGAAGGAAAATCAATTACTAATATTAGGCAATACTTGTTATAATACGTTCTTGTGCATTAAGTGATAAATACTCTTTATATTTATTTATTGCATTTATAAAGAAACGTTTTCTTACTCTGGATTCTCTCGACGTTCTTTAAGTTAGTAGATCTAATGTCTTCTATAGACTTCTTCTCACAGGAAGAATTCCTTTTTTCATCACTTTTTTCAAACTTATATTCCAACTGAGTAAGGCGCTTTTCTAATCGATTGATATAATTCCTGTCTTCCTCCTTTTCTTGTTTTAGTTTATAAATTTCACGATTTTGATCCATTATTACACCCTCAAATGTACGTAAGCGATTGTCCAGAATGCTTATGGCTTTATAAAGTTCGCTTTTAATCCTCTCAAAATCTTCTTTGTCTTCGGTTTGTTCGAGTTCTAGATCTTTATTTTGTTGTTTTAGGATGTGCATTATGTCCTCCTTCTCATCTTTCAGCTTGTTTGGAGGAACATTCATATTTTCTAAAATATGTTCTTCCCCGTTGCTATTTTCTATACAAGTCCTTTCTGGTAAAAGAGCACTTAGGAGAAAAAATGTTAGCAATGCCTTCATGCCTGTTTTGTTTTCAGTCTTTGAAACCGTCGTACAAACCAACGCAAAATAAAGTTCTGAATATGTTGCGAAATTATCAACACTTATCCACGTGTTATCTCAGTTGTACATTCATCATATGTTACAAGTATAAATGTCATTGAAAATTGGCACAGCCGGTCAAATGTTCTTATCTCAATTCATGTTGAAAAAATTAAGTACAATATTTATAATGCATTTTATTCCGTTTCAGAATTACATTGTATTAAGCATAATACTTTTTTCAGGTATACGAAGAACAGATGGCTGAGTTTTTCCCGTCATTTTTTTCTTTTATTTTTTTCTGGAAGTACTGGAAACACTTTACCAAACCCTTCGGTAATAAAGTCAATATTTATTTTTCATTTTAAAATCTAACATTCCTCTTTAAAGGCGAACTACCGGTATTAAATTCACCCTAAAAGTACTTTACAATATTTTTATATTTGTTTTCTAGAGAAGGTTGCACCCATATGGAAACGCCATCACTAGCTTGTGGAAAGGTGCAAAATTTGATCAATGGTCGGCACATAGGGCCATTTAGCGGTAAGGGATCTTTTTTGTGCCTGCACGTACTGGACACGGAACACGGTTTATATGATCTCATCCAAAGGACTGGTCTCCACGTCCCACATACAGATTCGAACCCGCGACGTAAGGATTATTTCCTTACTCCACGACTCTATAGAAACGGTCTAACCACTGCACTACTCGGGTGACTTCAATCACTTAACTGCTGATTTTCAGAACATAAGGATTGAACTACCTTAAAAAGTAGCTGCAATAATGTAGCATTCTCCGATTTTTTTTAATCTGACATTTCCTGGAGAGGAAAAATAGAAAAGGCTACATTATTACAGCTTTCTTAAAAAGTAAGCCACTTTAAGCTTGCTTAGGTTTCTTGAGCTCATCCATCAATAAGTATTAATGGTGTTCTTGTCAATGAAAAATATTTCAACACTTAAAATGTAAAAGTACAAGAGCAGGATAATTAATATGTACTTCGGTTTTACAAAATTCTGCATTTTCAGTGCAGGTAACATCTACAAATTTCCATTTTTGTGTGTAAATTGTCTTTGCAATTAAAAAAATGAGAGCAGTTTATAAATTCAAAAATTAATGAATGGTATTCTTCATTAACTGATGCAGACATACATCTACTTTACAGCTTCCATCCTGCAAAAGATGTTCTCCCATCGGAATCGCTTTGGATATAGTGTGCTATCCCTAGACGATATATGGATTTTATCCTCACATAAACATCGTCTCCGGTAGTTACCTGCGCAACAACTATTCCTGTTTCTTCTGCTTCTACAGCTCTCAGTGTGCGATGATAAACAGAACCATATTCTACTGTATTTATCATTAGTTGAACTGAGTGGCCATCACCATTCCCTGATCGAAATGTCCAGGTAAACACATAGACTCCAGATTCAGGAACAATAAAGACCCCAGTTGAAGCATGGTATGCATTTCCAATGTTGGTTCGAACTACATCAAAGACCAATACTAGGCGTGTACTAGGGTTCCCAACCATCGAAGACATATATGCATAGAATGCAATAATACCAGTTTCATTTGATCTTTGAGTGACAGATCGCTCTATAAAACAAAGTGAACAGATATATTTAAAATTAAAAATAAATTTAATTTTACCGATAAGTTCAGACATATCACTTGACAATGCAATCATCATATCAAGTGAAGAAAATTTTATTGAATTATTTTTTCCACTCACCTCTAAGATTTCTCTTACTCTGAATTCTCTCAGGGTTGATTTTATCCATCAATAATGCTTTTCCACTGGCAACATTTACATGGGAACTATTTTCGGGGTCACATGGATTTTCAAACTGTGGTACATGGACTTTTTCCACATTTGTAATTCGGCGTTTTAAATGGGTAACAAACCTCTTTTCTCCTACTGTATTTTTTCTCCGTGTCGTAAGATCACGAACTTGAGTCTTTGTAATATCCTCAAGTTTACGTATATACGAGTTTCCAAAGTTTTTATTGTTCCACTATACCGATCCTTCATTTGCTCGAATTCTTTTTGGTTCTGTAGAATCCTGAGTTCTAAATCTTCATTACGTTTTCTCTGTGTTATGGGTCAGAATAACCCTAAATGCCAGCAAAGATCAATCACACAGTTTAAACTTAACAATAATTTATTTACAGTAATATACAAATCATTAAGTACAAACTTAGCAAAAATCTAAAAATACATACATCAGAGTGTCCGTTGCTGCACACAATGTCCCAGTGAAATTATATCCCAGTAATACCTCAATGATGCTTATACGACAATTCTATCTCTGCATCGAATTGACAGGGTATTTATACAGTAATATAAATCTAGAATATTCTAGAAATTGTAAATACATGATATTACTGGAAAGTTCTGGACATGCACAAAGTTCAAGAATGTTCTAGAAAAATGACCGAACATGTTGACCACTCTGGAATGTTCAAGAAACTTAATGTTACTAATAATATACATGATGAAATAATACAAATACAACACACCTCACAACACCTCCCCCCTTAAAAAGTATGAATGTCAATGAAAACTTATATTGTTAAAATGAAATATATGTACATTAATACAAAATCATATATGTTCACGATACTCTGGACAAGGCATCTGCAATAACATTGTCTTTGCCTTTGATATGCTTAATTGTTATGTTGTATTCTTGTAACAACAAACTCCATCTAGTCAGTCTTTGATTCTTGTTTGACAATTTATGCAAAAATGTCAGGGGGTTGTGATCCGTATATACAAGAATTGGATGCAAAGTAACATTCAGATAAACATCAAAATGCTGTAAGGCTAACAACAAAGCAAGGCATTCCTTTTCAATGGTGGAATACTTTTGTTGACATTTTGTAAGTTTCTTTGAAAAATAAGAAACAACTCTATCTACCTTATCACTATGTTATTGAAACAAAGCTGCCCCGATTCCAACATCACTAGCGTCAACAGTAAGCTTAAATTGCTTAGAAAAATCTGGAGTTGACAGAACTGGGTTGCTCATAAGGACAGATTTGATTTTATGAAAGGATTTTTCACAGTCTTTTGTCCATTCAAAGTTAACCCTCTTCTGCAAAAGATTTGTAAGCTGACTAACTACTGAGGAAAATTTTGGACAAAATTTTCTGTAAAACCCAGCCATGCCCAAAAACCTCATTAACTCTTTCTTGTTTGTAGGAATCGGGAACTTTGCAATAGCTTCCACTTTAGCCATAATTGGTGTAACATAACCTTGACCTACTTTATGACCTAAATACTCTACATAAGCATGACAAAATTCGCTCTTCTCAAGGTTCACAGTTAAGTTTGCTTTAGCTAAAATGTCAAATAAAGCACGCATGATTCGGATATGTTCGTCCCATGTGTTGCTGTATATGATGACATCATCAATGTAGGCCTCGCAACCCTCGAGGTTTTGAAGAAGGGAGTGAATCATCCTTTGGAATGTAGCCGGTGCGTTTTTCATGCCAAAAGGCATTACTTTATACTGGTAAAGTCCATCTGGTGTAGCAAAAGCAGATATTTCTTTTGCTCTTTCTGTTAACGGTACTTGCCAGTAGCCTTTCAACAGGTCAAATTTACTGACAAATTTCGCGTTTCCAATGTTGTCAATACAGTCATCGATTCTAGGTATTGGATATGAATCGGTTTTGGTAACAGAATTCACCTTTCTAAAGTCTGTACATAATCGGTACGAACCGTCCTGTTTTGGTACAAGAATACAGGGTGAGCTCCAATCACTTTTACTAGGTTCAACAATGTCATTGTCCAACATGTACTGCACTTCCCTTCTTAGGTACTGCAATTTTATTGGATTAAGACGGTACGGATGTTGTTTGATAGGCAGAGCGTCACCCACTATGACATCATGATAAGTTGCATTAGTTTTCTTTGGAACATCCGAAAAGATTTGATGATACTCACTCGTCAAGTTTTTAACTTGTTCTTTTTGGTGAATGTTCAAATGTCCAAGTTTAGCATCCAAATTAGCCAAAACTTCTGAGTTTTTCAAACGGACACTCTGATTACAATCTTTCTCATTCATTTCTACACTCGTATCACTTTCAATACAATTTTGAACAGTCTTAGCATTGGCTAAAGTTGAAACTGGTTTTACAGAATTTCGGTCACACCTTTCAAAATACTCTTTTAACATGTTAATGTGACAAACCCGTTTCTCTTTACGTCGACCTGGTGTCTTAACTACATAGTTTACATCACTGATCTTGCTTTCAATTTCATAAGGGCCATAAAATCTGGCCTGTAAAGGATGACCAGGAATAGGTAAAAATACAAGAACCTTATCACCTGGCTTAAACACCCTATTTCTGGCATCTTTGTCATACCACATTTTCATTTTCATCTGAGAACTCTTCAAATTTTCTTGTGCTAATTTACAAGCATTGTAAAGTTTTTCTTTGAAATCAGACACATAATCTAAAAGATTAAGATCACTAGTCTCAGTCAGCCACTTTTCCTTTAACAATTTCCAAGGACCTCTAACTGTATGACCGAACACCAATTCAAAAGGACTGAATCCAAGAGACTCCTGGACTGCTTCTCGTGCAGCAAATAGCACAAGATGAACCCCTTCATCCCAGTCTTTCTCATACTGGTAACAATAGGTCTTCAGCATTGTTTTTAGGGTTTGATGAAAACGTTCTAGCGCTCCCTGGGACTCAGGATGATAAGCAGTTGATCTATATTGCCTTATACCCAACTCATGCATGACTTGCTGGAACAACCCCGACATAAAATTTGAGCCTTGATCCGACTGAATTGCCTTGGGTGCTCCTACAAAACTGAAAAACTTGGTTAGGGCCTTAACTATGCTCTTTGCCTTTATATTCCTAAGAGGTATGGCTTCAGGAAATCGAGTGGATGTACACATAATGGTAAGTAAATACTGGTTTCCAGATCTAGTCCTAGGCAAAGGTCCTACACAATCCACCAACACTCGACTAAACGGTTCTTCAAAAGCTGGAATGGGTTGGAGAGGAGCAGATGGTATCTTCTGATTTGGTTTACCTACCATCTGACAGACATGGCATGACTTGCAAAACTTCGAAACATCCTTTCTTAGCTTAGGCCAATAAAAATGACTCAAAATCCTGTTATAAGTCTTATTGATACCTAAATGACCAGCCATAGGTGTATCATGAGCTAAACTCATGACATCTCGACGATAAGCAGCTGGGACCACTATCTGGTGAACAACACGCCACACTTCATCTGGAGAAGCGTCAGGTGGTCGCCATTTTCGCATAAGGATGCCATCTTTCATATAGAAGCATTCTCCAACTTAAGTAGCCTCTTCTGGTGGAAGTGCCCTCTTGCTAAGTTGAATGATATCTCGGTCTTTATGTTGTTCAGAGAGTAAACGTTCTCGGCTGAGGATGTCCTTGCCTTGGCTAACTAGTGGATGCAACTCATCATCCTCACCACCAAATTTTGGTAAAAGTTCTTTCTTCTCTTGCTTCTTGATATTGTGTGGTTCCATGCTTGTTTGAGTGCCATCAAGGTCAGATAAGAAAGTGTCATTCAAATCAATATCAACAGAGGAATTCGTCTCGTCAAAGGCTTGAGTATGGTCTGCCTCCATTTCTCGTCTTCTGGCCATCGCTCTAGTAACAGCACAGGCTGGATAAATGTCATCATCTTCATCATCGCACATGACATCTGGAGTGATTTTCTCACAAACTATAGGATCTGGTACAACTTTTCCACCAGCTAAATCGTTGCCTAGCAACAAAGAAATGCCTGGAACAGGAAGAGTAGGTCGAACACCTACGATAACAGGTCCAGTAACTAAATCTGACTTCAAACTAATTCTATGCAGGGGAACATCAATGACGCCTAGCTCCACACCCTGTAATAAAACTGACCCACCAGTAGAAGTCTGCTCAGACAAAGGAAGCACGCCCTCTAACAATAACGTCTGTGCAGCACCAGTATCTCTCAAAATCTGGACAGGTTTTATTTCGCTAGAGTCACCGAGTGAAACAAATCCCTGAGACATAAAGGGCTTATAATCCTCCATAGAATCAATAGAACTGGACTGTGAACCCTGGACATCAGGAGTGTCAGAACAAATCGAAACTAAGGCTTCTCTATCTCCTCTAACTGCCGCACAAGCATGTGGTTGAGTTTTATCAAAGTCATTTTTTCTCTTAAGTTTAAAGTATTCACTGATCAGATGACCTTTTTTCTTACAATAACTACAAGTAGGAAGCGACCCTATTCCAGAAGATCCTTCAAAACGTCCTGGACCGGACTTAGAACCACCTTGGGATGGAGACTGGGAACTTGTGAAAGACTGAGACCCTGAACCACTCTTTTTATATGTGTCTGAATTGGTAGAATTACAGCTAGTCTGAGATCTTGAAACAAAATTCTTTTTATGAGACAGAGCATAAGTATCAGATATGACTGCTGCCTCTTCAAGAGTTTTCACATTCTTATCTTCTAAATGTGTTTTCAAATCTTGAGAAACACATTCCTTAAACTCTTCTACCAGGATGACTTGGCGCAAATTAGCAAAAGTTTTATCAAGATTCTTAGATCTAAACCAATGATCGAATAAATCTTCTTTCTCTCGTGAAAATTCAACAAATGTTTGATTATCAAACTTTCTATACTTTCTGAACTTTTGTCTATACGCTTCAGGTACTAATTCATATGCGTTTAATATTGCTGCTTTGACCTTCTCATAGTCTGAACTTTCAGCTACCCCTAGGGCAGAGTATACCTCAGCTGCTTTGCCAACCAGTACACTTTGTAACATTGTTGACCAAACGTGTTGTGGCCATTTAAGATTTTCTGCGACTTTCTCGAATTGGGGAAAATACTTGTCTACAGATTTTTCTTGAAATTTCGGAACTAACCTAATATTTTTTGCTGCATCAAATTCATTCTTGACAAATGAGGGTTCTGGTTTCTGCTGTAATCTTAATTTCTCTAACTCAAAGTGCTCTTGTCTTTCTAATTTGTCTAATTCAAATTTCCGTTCACGCTCTCGTTCTTCTCTTTCTCTTTCTCTGTCTCTTTCTCGCTCTTCTCTTTCTAATTTTTCTCTTTCTAATCGCATTTTCTCTAACTCTAATTGAAACTGATATTCTGCCATTTTGTAAGAGCCTAACTCTGTTTTAACTGTATATTCTGGAAGATCGTATTTTTCAAAGATGTTTTCTTCTACTAGTTTGTTTGCAACCTTAATTCTAATGTCTTGCTTTCTCTGAGAGGATTTAAGAGCCATTCTCTGTAATGATTTGAAATTTTATATAGGAGCTGTGGCACGCATAGTCTCAGAATTTCTCCAAACTCTCTATGATAAAAGTCATTGATACCCTAAACTGAAATCAGGCAAAAATTGGTTGCTATGTTTTATAGTTACCATGGCAACATGTCTTAAAGTTCGGAAAATGGCATTTTTTAACATGTTTAGAGCCCCACAGTTAACATTTGCGGCAAAGCAAACAATTGGCAGTGACTGTTTCCAAAAGTTGAAGGTCAGATGTCTCAAATGCATGATGAACATGTTTGGTAAATCAACTATTACATACGTTACTATGGTAACAAAGTATTCAAAAGTAAAAAAAATATTCATTGAATTTTATAAAGTCATACACGTAAAAATAAAAAGCAATTATAGGATGAAATGTGACCAAATAATAGAAAAAAAAGCCTTGAAACATATACCAAGAACAAAATATGATATTTCATTTTGGTTGGCAATGGTTGCCAAGGTTTTTATACCACAAGAACCCTTCAAAGTAACACTCTGTATGTTTAAATCTGATCCTATCTTTTAAAAAAAGCACATTTCCTCATAACTAATGATCAATTTTATAAGATGTTGGTGTGCTCCAAGTTTTCCCATTTGAAAAAAATCAGATTAGATTCTTTAAATAGAGCGTTGCTATGGAAATAAGCAGAAAAAATATGCTTAAAAACCTGAAAAATATTTTCTTTCCTTGGATACGTACCCTTAAATGTAGATTCCCAAAACTTTTATGATTGATATTTATAAACAGCTAACTTGACTTTTAATTTTGACTGTCATCCAATCTCTAAGTGGATGCAAGAAGTTGGCACACAGGGTTTAATATTGATATAAAGTTCACAAAATCGAACATTTTCCCTTCTTGGTAACCATAGCAACAGTGTTGTTTTATTCATCAAATTTTATCAATATATGATATTCAACGTCAGTTCTAACATATAAGTACTTTTCAAGCTGAGTCCTTTAATTTGTTTCTTGATTAAATGGCAATTTAATTTTTAATGCAGCGAAAAATAATTCACTTTTAAGCACTGGTACTTTGTTTCCATGGTAACACTGCAAAGTAGCATTTATACCCAATTTTTCTTATGGTTTTGGTATTGCAAGGTCCTAAGGATGCATATTTGCCAATCTTGAATTTTCATGCTTTTCCTCAAGACAGTAGCATTAACCCAATCTTAGTTACTGGTTTTGCATGGTTATACTGTGTTACCATGGCAACCATAAAAGTTATTTATAGAATAACATTGCTCATACTTATATACTTAAGGTCAAACATTTTCATTGTTTTTCTTAAGTCGTTGATTGAGTTTTAGCATGTAACACCTACCATTAGTGAATACGGAGTGTTTTGCAGCATATTTCAGCATTTTAAATGTATTCCAAATGTACCCTTGGTTACCACTTACTTGGAGATATATTCTAAACAGTTTTTTTACAGTATAAGTGACATCAAGGTGTCATGTTTTTGTGAGAATGGTTTGTATGCTTTTTCCAGTTTTTATTAAGCCACGGTCAAGATTTAAAGTGGCTGAAAATCTCGATTTTTCAAACTTTTCTGGCTGTTGCCATAGCAACCGAGACACATAGCAACGAAATTTTGTTTGATATTTGTTTCTGGTGTCAAGTACTAAGCATGGGTGAAGTTTCATCGAAATTGGTGACCATGCGTGGCAACAAGTTTAAGTGGTTACAGAGAATGGCTATTAACATCTAACCCAAAATGCAAACCTAATGCGATCAAGTCATCCTTTTTTAACGTATCAAAAACCTGAACACTTGGTGAACTAAGAAAGTCTGTGACCGAAAACACCATGTTGATTTCTGCTGGCTTATAATCAAATTTAACGGTTCAATAAACAAAATTCTGACAATAAACTGCAAAAGTGCAAGAAATTCTTTATCCCGGACGAGCCCCCAATTCTGTTATGGGTCAGAATAACCCTAAATGCCAGCAAAGATCAATCACACAGTTTAAACTTAACAATAATTTATTTACAGTAATATACAAATCATTAAGTACAAACTTAGCAAGAATCTAAAAATACATACATCAGAGTGTCCGTTGCTGCACACAATGTCCCAGTGAAATTATATCCCAGTAATACCTCAATGATGCTTATACGACAATTCTATCTCTGCATCGAATTGACAGGGTATTTATACAGTAATATAAATCTAGAATATTCTAGAAATTGTAAATACATGATATTACTGGAAAGTTCTGGACATGCACAAAGTTCAAGAATGTTCTAGAAAAATGACCGAACATGTTGACCACTCTGGAATGTTCAAGAAACTTAATGTTACTAATAATATACATGATGAAATAATACAAATACAACACACCTCACAACATCTGAATGCAGACAAAATCCACTAGATCGCTTAAAGTGTGTTCAAGAACATTTTATTTTGCATTTACATCCTCAGGACTGTTAATTTGTTCTCCAAAAGTCAGAAATGGTAACAGAAAACTTGTTACGAACAATTTCTTCATGGTTGTGAGCTAGGAATATGATATCAGCTGATTTCTGAAAATCAAACTTCCATTTACTTAAATATTTTTTTCGAAGCTATTAAAGTATGCTAGTTTTATCTCAAGCAAATATTTGTAATGCGTACGAGCTGCAACTGCATGATTTAGTGTATAACAGATAAGTGCTCACTATCTTTAACTCCTCACAAAGTGTTTTAATAATATAGACGTTATTTAGGACAGATGATAAACAAAAGATGGATGTCTGGATTTGTATATATATTTTGGCCTATTTCTTTTGTAAATGATGCAAATACATGTTATAAATTTCTAAAATATGAAACAAATTGTAAACCTTTCTGTGACGTTCAAAATTGTACCTTTCACCAACCGTCTTTAAGTTTATAACCTATGTAAATTTATGTCTGTTCAAATCCCACTTTTGTGAAACTTTGAATGAAAAAAAAAACTACGCGGTTAAACTTGTTTATTTTACTTACCTAAACATGACTCAGTTCGTTTTTTTTTTCAATTTTTTTAAGTTTATATTTATATCATCTGTCCTTAAAAACATGTGTTATACAAGTCATATACATAAGATATTACAATTACAGTGTACTATCAAGTACATTCAATTTGTTTTCTTCAGGAGATTACTGAACTGTTTTATTTCATGAAGTTTTCTTGTCAAATTGTAATTTACAACTGAATGGCAAAAGAAATGAAGTTTTCTTAATTAACTTCTGACATTGATATTTGTGTAGGGGAAAAACCTATGTATTTAGACATTTTGATAAAAGCAAAATTACGAAAGTGTCGACCTGTACAATATACGATTTTTCTTGACTTATACCTTATAAATGGACTTTACATCTCATCGTACAAGAATTTTTTTTGAGAATGCTTTTAACTAGATTTAGCCTTATCTGTTATAAAGAGTTACTCGAGACATTATCATAATAACATATTTTGAATTTCTCAACAGCAAAATACACTTCTCGTCACAGGCAAGGTAGCAGAGTAGGGTATACTCTTTACATTCGTTACACCTGACTGTGGTACTGTCACGGGTATCGGCGTGTTCGGGCTGGTTTTTTTGTATTAAGAGAAAATATAGAAAAATTGGATGTCCGCCATTTTGAATCGCCATTTTGACCTCTTCAACGCCATTTTCATGAAGGCCAGCATATTTTTTCGGATTCAGCATACTCGAAATAGTTTAAAAACCTATGCTGGACCAAATAATAATTATTTGCCGTTAGAAGTTATTTCTAGCCTTCTTTTTAAAAATCAGGACCAGACTATTACACTTAACAGAGACTAAGTCGGGCCCTTTATATAGGTGTCCTCCGATATAGTGAGAGTCCGATCGAAAATGGCAGACACAATCTACTGACTAGTCTCGATCATCCAGACGTCTTGATAATCAAGACTTTCTTTTTGAAAACCGTGTTCAGCTTTAAGTCGACAAAAGTTGTTCTCAGTTTGAGTTCGTGAAAGCTAATAAATCGAACACACTTGGTAAAAAAAGAAAAAGAGTCTGCTCCAATGTTTTGATAATTTACGAAGAATGTCCCTGAATCTTAAGAATATTATTAATTCATTAAACTGATGTAACGGCATGATATTTTGAAGTGATTATAATATATATCAATAGCATTATAAATGGACTTTTGCGAAGACCCTGAATTTTACATTTAACGGTTTACTTCGACATTTAAACCTGTGTCATGTATGGAGGTTCAGAATTGTTAATAGATCAGAAAATCTTTCTAGTGATCAAGGGTATGGTGTTAGGGGCACTAGCATGTGAAGGGTGGTATTTGCGGGTAGGGTGATTGTCGGATTCTTCATGGGCAACTTATATGTGCTTTATTTCAGTCCGTTATTTTCGGTAATTAAATGTTGAGCTGAATATTTTTATTGCAAAAGAGCTTCCGTATATTGTCCAAGTGTAAAAGTAAGCCGTCGACTGTAAAAGTCAGCGCTTTTCGCAAAAGCCCACTAATGCAATTCTTATATAAACATGTACATACAGTTTTAGTGTAATGTTATATTAAAGATCTCTGTTAGATTTCGATGAGAACGAAAACATTTGACGTAAGATAAGATGGCATTGCAGCTATAGTATTGTCTCCTTGTCTTCTTTTTAGCTCACCTGAGCCGAAGGCTCAAGTGAGCTTTTCTGATCACATTTTGTCCGTCGTCCGTCCGTCTGTCTGTCCGTCCGTCCGTCTGTCTGTGCGTCTGTAAACTTTTCACATTTTCGACTTCTTCTCAAGAACTACTGGGCCAATTTTGACCAAACTTGGTACAAAGCATCCTTGGGTGAAGGGAAATTTAAATTGTTAAAATGAAGGGACATATCCCCTCGCAAGGGGAGATAATCAAGAAAAGACAAAAATAGGGTTGGGTCATTAAAAAATCTTCTTCTCAAGAACCACTGGGCCAGTAAAGCTGAAACTTATGTGGAAGCATCCTGGGGTAGTGTAGATTCTCAATTGTTCAAATCATGACCCCCGGGGGAAGGGCGGGGCCACAATGGGGAATCAAATTTTTATATAGAAATATATAGGAAAAATCTTTGAAAATCTTCTTCTCAAGAACCACTGGGCCAGAAAAGCTGAAACTTATGTGGAAGCATCCTGGTAAAGTGTAGATTCTAAATTGTTCACATCATGACCCCCGGGGGAAGGGCGGGGCCACAATGAGGAATCAAATTTTTATATAGAAATATATAGGAAAAATCTTTGAAAATCTTCTTCTCAAGAACCATGCGGCCAGAAAAAGTGAAGCTTATATGGAAGCATTCTGGGGTAGAGTAAATTCTAAATTGTAGGAATCATGACCCCCGGGGGAAGGGCGGGGTCATTATAGGGAATCAAAGTTTTACATAGAAATATATAGGAAAAATCTTTGAAAATCTTCTTCTCAGGAACCACTGGGCCAAAAAAGCTGAAACATATGTGCCCATGGAAGGATCATTGGGTAGTGAACATTTCAAAATGTCTAAATTATGATCAGTGGGGTAGGGTGGGGATGCATTATGTATAACAAGGGGGAAATCTGGTAAAGAACAGAATGGTCAAAGCTTCTCAGGTGAGCGATGTGGCCCATGGGCCTCTTGTTACAATTTATACTGGAACTGAAATCGAACATCAAATTAAATGTAAGAATCATGGAAAGATTCTTCAGATTATTTTTTATACATGTAATATCTATTTCACCATCATGGACATGTGCAAAAGGGCATGATGGACTTCATTCTGTTGAGGAAAAACTAAAAGTCCTTCTGAACACCGTAGATGAGTTGATGGACTTTAACCATGCTCAACAACAACGATATGATAATCTTGAACTTGAGCTTTTGGAAAATAAAGCAGAATTTGATCGGATGAAGAAAGAGTATGCAAGAAGAATACAGCAAAACTCGTTTAGTACGAACACGGATATAGCGAATTTACGGATATAGCGAAGTCATCTTGGATCCCCAGCTTTATAAATTTAATGAATTCCTTATACGGTTATAACGAATTACGGATATAGCGAAGTAATTTCATAGGTCCCTGTGACTTCGTTATAACCGAGTTTTACTGTATACGCCTTGGAAACTCGTACACGTGAACTTAAGGATATTTCAAAGACCCAAGAACGAGATATTTCAATGCTTAAAAAAAGTAATGTGAAAAACAAGAATCACATCTATCATTTAGAAAACCTCCTTACACAAATGGAGAAAGAATGTGTGCAAAAATTTACTAAACCAAGTGATGGAAAAAATTGATTCGCTGAAAATGAGGCAAAACATACTAGTAACTCAGAATCAACAAGGAACCACATAACTGGGAGAATTCAGAGTAGGAAAAATTATTAAAGCTAACATTGAGATTGTTAATCGTATATCTCATAATGCATGGTTAATAGTCACAAAACACAATATCAAACCAGTTATCATGTTAAAGAAATGACTTAAACTCTTTTCTATTACAGAAAGACTTCTTTTGTCTTCAAACACTGTCCACGGCATCGGTGTTATTGCATTTTATGCCTATATGTCAGCCATATTAATTTCGCCAAGTGATCATTATGTTTTGGTCTTTGACACTGTAAAAACCAACATTGGAAACGCTTATCATCCTACAACAGGAGTATTTATGGTTCCCTAGTCGGGTGTCTACATTTTTACATGGACAATTCGATCAGGTACCGACGATGCCCATTCAGTTGAACTAATGATAAATTTGGCTCTATTTACCTCTAGACATTAGGTTTCGAGACAGAAGTAACGGGTATTGTCGTTGCACACGTTAACGTAGGCGATGACGTTTACGTAAGAACACGCATTTCACATCAAACAGGGGCATTACATTACATACAAAGCGATGCCGAAGGAAGATCGTCCTTTGCAGGATGGAAACTTTTTTGAAATTCACAAATTATTTAAATAAAACAAATTACGTTTTTAATATTTTCAATAGAGAATGCAACTATTGATGGGATGGTTTAATTTATAAATAAGAATGCATTGAAGATAACCAAACGTTTTCAAAAGATAAAAAGTTTTAGGTATAAGCTAGTAAAAGTGACCAACGTTTAAAAAAGACTTTTGAAAAGTCTCTACCAAGAAGCTGTTCTGAAACATTGTAGCAAGAAATAAAAATACAGACACATATATCCGGTATATCCCAATTCAATATTATAATTATATACTACATGTATACAAATATAGCCCTTTGATGAGGTCGATCCATAGATATATCGACTTCACAAAAAATCATATCGACCGAGCACGAAGTGCGAGATCAATATGCTTTTCTGTGAAGTTGATATATCTATGGATTGACCAAATTAAAGGGCTACATTTGTTATATTATTTTTTTACATAGATTGACAATTGAAAATAATGGGGAAAAGGCACAAGTAACACTTAGAGACTAGAGATAAAAAAAAATTAAGTTGTGTAATGTAAATGTGTTTCCTTTATATTGATAGAGTAATTTAGAGGATTTACTTACTCAAAATATTTCATTTATTTCATTAAGTTTTATATCAATTTTTGACAAACATATCAAATATGTTTTAATATAAAGTACATGTAGATCCTAATCTAATGCATTGTTTCGTCTCATCAATTGCTGAGCGTTAAAAAATTTAATAGAAGTTGAAGTAAATATTTTTAGAAACATCAAATCATACATTGTTTTAGCTATAATTGAAATGAGTACTTTTTTTACAGAAAATTATCTTCATTTTAAGAAACATCAAGTCGATATGCATTTCAGTCTTTCAGATTCTATAAATAGTAACTCAAGTCTATATGCTGTTATATACTTAATCGTGTGATCAAGTTAGAGTCAATCAGAACGCTTGGAATAAATGATAAAAATAATATATGTATATATATGAGAAATATATACATGTCTACTATCTAAATGTCATAACTACTGCTCAAAAATTTTTAAATCATGAATATTTCAAGGTCATGAAAGGTCAATATCTGGCATGCGCCCAACAGACACCAATGTTCATCTTAAACGGCATCTTATGAAACCTAGGTTTATTAAGAATTGATTAGGAATGCTACATGTATCCCACTCTAAATGTAGAGATTTGGTCATCTGTTGCAGAGTCTGAAGATGCAATTGTCTGGAAAATCATGCTAAACCATATTGTCCAAATCATACTCATTTGGTTTAACTATGGCAATTTACTTTAATTAATGCAATTGTAGAAACAGGTTGCTGTGGCTTGCAAGAATGCAATTGTCAAGGAAGCCATATGTGGCTGTGTATTGTCAAACTGAAATATGGCTCCAGGATGCTGCAATATTGGTTAGGCATGTGTAGGTAGAACATCATTAGAGTACCTTTTTCCAATAAAGTTCTTTAAATATGAACCAAATCAGTCTTACTTGTATGTAATACCATTTTCTAAATCATTACACTACCAGGCCAAGCTTAAAAAATTCTTTGTTTGCAGTTGCCGACCTATATTTTTTAGACTGGGTAGGTAGGTAGGTAGGCTTTCTTTTCCTTTTTTTTTTTTTTGTACAAAAAAAATTCAGATTTTTGTTATATAACAAATAATAGAGCTTTTCATAGGTCTACTAAACATGAATAAGCTCTACTCTTGTTACAAACCCCTGATTGATAAAAACAAGTCCAAAATTGAAAATGAAACAGTTTCAATATCCTGAAAAATATTGAAAAAAAAATTTAATTACACAATGGCCAAAAAAGATTGGGTCGGGTGCATTTTCAGTGGGTCGGTAGGCAACTGCAAACAAACAAAATTTTATTCAGGCCCCACCGCCAAATCTTTCAACCTTATAATCCAGAGGGAGCTTTTTGTAAATTGTTAACTTTTGACAAAAATTACACAAGCTAACACGAAAAGTCAATCTGTATCAAAAGCATAGCTCATCATTAAATCAGAAAACTTAGTATATAGAAAAATTTCTTTATTTAATCTTTTCATGAAGATTTATCTAAATAACTTAAGTCTAGCTGTTTAAAATTTGTTTGTTGTTCAAACCACTTGGCCACAGTCAATACTTGTCTGTCATGAAAGTTGGGTCCTACAAACTGAAGACCAATGGGAAGCCCTGAATATGAAAGTGAGGCTGGCACAGTAATAGCTGGAACACCTGTACACAAAGGGAGTAAATGATATTATATGAATATACTTTTTCATGGTAAGTATTTTTAAAAATGCATCACTTTAAAAACCTACTTTGATATAAATTGTAGGAAATAATACTCATAGATATTAAATTATTTAAAGTAAAATTTCAATAATTTTCAAAGACAGACTATTAATTTACAAAGCAAGCTAAACATAACATATAACTATAAACCATTCAAGTTTTTAGAATATACTCGTATGTAAGCCCTGCTTCTTCCTGTACAGACCTGCCATGTTGATAGGTTGAGTGAAGACATCCTGCTCTTCTGCCCTGGTGCGATTGTCCTCCTCCGTAAACCAGGTATAGGTCGGGGCCTCAGTCAGTGTGGTGGGGGTCAGGAGTATATCCACCCCTCCCTTAAACACATTTCTAAAGTCCTCAGCAATCAGTCTTCTTACTTTCTGGGCTTTTATGAAGAAGTTGTCATAGTTTCTACAAATAAAGGCCATTGTTTACATACAATTCAGCTTTTTATATATAATGTATAAATAGCCATTAAGTTGTAAAAAAAAAATAGAGTTTAAAAGTGACATTAAAGTATTCTAAATTCTCAGTTATAAATTATAACATGAACTGGAGCATGCATAAAGAATAGTACGACTTAATTTGTAGAAATTTTAAACTTTAAAAATGACGGGACTTATATCACTTTTATGACCTTGGACAAAACATAAGCACAATTTTATTTAAGAAATATCTTTGCATTCTGACAACTTCTGTTATTTGTGAATATTTTTACCATAAACATCTATTTAATTGTGTATTTATATTAGGGATGTCAAATCAGTCAATTTTTAATACTCGGTTACTCAGACGTTTTTCCGATCAAGTACCCAAGTACCATACCCGGGTACTAGGTAAAAGTGTAGTAAATATGAACAAGTATGTCAATTAATGTTAAACATTGTAAACTCTTGTAACAATTATGAGCACTTCGTGTCCAACTAAATTTAATTAACATTTTTTTAAGTTCAATTTATTTATCAGATAAACACAAGAAATAAAATCATTAATGGTTCACAGTGTTTTTGTTTAAAAAATAATCTGCTCCATAATTATAATGTAACTCTTTGTTGCATTTGATGTCCAAGTATTAGTCGTCAGAGCTACATTATCAACTTTATCAAGTTCTCCTAACAGAGTGGATTTACGATCTTCATACACCTTTTCGATCCTAGACTTTACAGTATTACATGACGGTATATTGCAGTTTTGTGCAACGATTGACATCAGTTTTTTAGAGCCTTTGCTTTCAACCATTTGTATTGGCATGTAATCAAACATAATGATATCAACAATCGCAAGTGTAATTTCATCTGTCTCATTTCCCGAGAATTTACAGCTTCTTGGAGAACTGACAAAATTCGATAAAGTCGGTTGTTTTTCTGAAGGTTTCTGGCCTGTTGAATTTCTTCTTATTTTTAAGACGAATCTGTTTAACATGTTTGGTTAACCGGGTACTCATTGACATCCCTAATTTATATGTAGGATGCATAAAACTGACAAATCTTGGGTAAATATTGTCCAAATAATATTGGTTTCCATGTAACTGATGTCTTTTTTTACCTCCTCAGTAAGAAGAAATTTCCTGCAAATATCCTTCCTCTGACAACATCGTTGAATCCCTCATGTCTGGTGGCTGCATACAGTTCTTCAGTGGAATCCTCTATCTTTGCTCTGTGACCTGAACAAAGTTCATTTACTTCTCTGAAGATCTTTATGTCAATCGTAGAATCTATATACACTTATTTTTATTGATTAACTTAAGAAATATTGTTTATTTTCAAAAAAAAAAATTAAATTCGTTTTGAAATTCTTAAATCCTCAGTTGATGTTTTCTGCTTCAATGAATTTTAGTCAAAATAAATGCCAAAGTTTCTCTAAAAATGTGGGGTTTTTTTTCTTTCTTTTTTTGAAGACAATAAAAAGAAATATTTTTTTCATATCAGTGTTTAACATGAAATTCATGGTCTTACCATATTCTATTCCATC